GACACCAGCTTTTAAAGGACTATCTTGAAACCTTGATATTAGTATAAATCGTTGTATGAATATTAATACCTACTATTATTAGCATATTAACTGGTTGAATCGATGGTAAATTAGGTGAGTGAGTCAAAACGTTCGTAGACTTTAAATAGAACAAAGAGCTACCTTAATAACATCCACCTGTCCTATCATTCTATGCAAGGTCAGGATTAGGACAGGTTGTAAAACCGTTTATTTCAATCCTACAAATGACAAATTTTGAGATCAGCGCAAGCTTACAATTTCAACTAAATTAAATTGGAAATCTGTTCAAACCACAGAATCTTTACAGCATATTTATGAGGGCTCTGCGCCATGTGGAGGGTTATTTATGATTGGATTAAACGCTTAAAAGAAGGAAGAGCATACCTTGATGACGACTCAGGGGGAGAGAGGAGCCATCACAGCAAGAAATAAAGAAAACATCTCTCTTGTTCAGAACCATGTAGAAAAAGATGGAAGAGCTGCCATTGAGGAAATTGCCAATGAAGTAGGAATAGCACACGGATTTGTATTTTCACTTCTCACTGAAAAGCTTGGCTTGAACAAGCTCTCAGCACGGTGGATTCCAAAACGTTGCAGGAACAATAACTGATCCAATGAGATGGACTTTCTTTAGCAGCTTTAGCAAAGATGGAAGTAAGTGAGAATAATCTTTTAAGCATTGAATCGCTAGAGGTGAAACCGGGGTGTAATGTAATTTTGCGATTCGTAAAGTTATCATTTATTAAATTTCAATCTCGAATCTAAATTTAAAAATGCATCATAGTTAAAGGAACTGCACTGCCATGATTGAATTTACCTTAACTTCTATTGTCCAGAACGGAATTGCGTACAACTTGTCACCCTCACAGTACTTGTTTATGCATGATTAGTCAGTTTAATCTGATAACACATGGAGGTCATTTAAGAAGCCATTCGTCTGATAAAAAATTATTTATTCTCATGACCGGAATATGTTAAAGTTCTCCATGTTAAATATTGATTTATTTATTTGCTTCTGGCAATGCTAAGTGTTTGGCAAGAAATTTTCATAAAAAATTTAGCAATTCTAGGTTAGTTCATAACTACGCTATTCTGATAACAGATGGTGATATGTTATCAATTATTCATCGGTAAAAAAAGAAATTGGTTGAACTTTTTACCGGACTCAAATGAACCTGATCTAAGTAGGTTTTAATTAAGACAGATCACGTAGACAAGGTGAGTATTTAAGAATGGGCGTGGTGTCTATAGAAAATAAGACCTAAGATTTAAGATTGGTGAGGCGCTGCGGTTATCTTGTATATGCAGGTTAATTTCCACACGATGTATAAATACATGGCCTGATCCAATCACGCACTTTTCAACCTAGGTCGAATTCTTCATTGGCATTTTTACCTGCAGTTGTAGGTATTTGTGTGACCCAGGTAGACTGTAAGTTCAATTAAAAGCCTAAATTCACCCTGTTAACCGAAACTTGAACTCAACTCATTCATTTTTTCGCTTGTTCTCCTCTTTAGTTTAATTTGCCGTTAGTTTTGAACAGTATTTTTAGCTTGCTTTGGGATATAGGTGTTTCTCACTTGATCGATCACGTCACTACTGCGTATTGGGGAGTTAAGCTATAAATTTTCAAATATTGCTTCTAGCAGAAGGGGGATCATGTGAGGTTTGAAGAACTTAGTTTCGAAAATTGAAGATACTTCAGAAGCTGGATATTTTTGACGAAAGTTTCTTTACAATATGATATTTGGAGGAAATACGCCCTAATTAGGCAATCTTTTAATAATTTTGTAACAAGTGCTAGTTTTTCTTTAAATTGCGGACGTGTAGTTTGCATTTCATGGCGAGAAATGATGGGTGTTAAATACTTGAACCCACAAAAGTCAAGTACAGTGAACCATAGAAATTTAAACGATTGAATAGTGGTTGTTTACAATTACTAGAAATAACATAATTTTTTCCACTTCAAATCAAAGATGTTCAGAAGTACATATTTTCCCATTTTTATGTATGCGAAATGTAGCATTTATTTCACACTTAGAAAATCTTTCTCTGACTCAGTCTTCTTATAAATTTTAATTCATCCATAGCCCGACTTTTAACTCTGCTCAAAGAGCTGATTACCTTTTCACTTTCGTGGAAATTTGCAGTAAAATTGCAGCTTCTAATGAGGTATTGATTGCAGATGGGATTTACCAAATATCTTTGCTAATTACAGCATAGGCACTTTTGTGGAAAGAAAACCTTTACGTAACGTAAAAGCAAGCTTTTGAGCTATTTACCCAAAAATTGACAGATTTTACTTATTATCACGTTCATATGGACTGCAAATTTAATATTTTGAAAGTTAATCGCTGACGATCAAGGTCTGTAATGAGAGAATTTTTTGTTTAAACTGATAGACAACTATAGACTTAATTTTAATCCCGACAACTAATGACTTAGACATCTCAGCCACCCGAGATTACAATTAACTACACAAGTTTACTTGCATATTTCTGTATGAAAAGTTGGAATTTTAAATAACATTTAATTTTATGAGTTTAAATATAAATTTTCACGGTCACCTATGGAAATAGATTTCATTCATTTGACCAAATTAATTTTGCTAACTTCGATAAACAGTTAGTGAGAGACAAGCGTGAGTGAAATATAGAGATTTAAGGGATTTGCAAAGATTTGCTTGTTAAAAAAGCGCGATTAAAAAATGCGAAATGGAATATAATGTTCTTCCAATTGCATTTAAATTTGGCCTCCTATTAGATTTGGGCTCTTTGAGTTAATTTTATTAAAGTCTAGGATAAAAAACTGGGTGGTTTTGAGACTATCGAAAATTGATAGATTATGCTCAATGGTTGATTTTTTTGTTAATTACTGCCGTCATCAGTTCAAACAAATCAGTATGGTGTCCAACAGCATAAATACTTGTAAAACACTACTTTCTTCTCACAGACATCCAACAGAAAGTGGTTCTAGACTAACGAAGTCAAGTTAGTTTATTGTCTCTTAATCGGATATCGTAAACAATTCTTTCAACTATGCTTAGAAACTGTGTTTGCTATAAGTGCAAAACAACAGCAATCCGATATTAAAGACCCAATATGCAATGTTAATATTTACATAGTGATAGGTTCAATCATTTCTTCAATTAATTAATTAATTTAAAACAGTTGAAAATAGAGAATGTCATATGTGAGAATTATTTTTTTGGGGCGGTAAAAACTTCCATATATGATATGCAATAAAAATAGTCAACACAACGTTTTACTCAACATTTATATATAAAGGGTGGGGTGTGCGATAGGCTTAACTCCACGTGGTGCTCCCTAGGCATTGTGTACTCATACGGCAAAAAATTCTATAAACTGACAGTTGACTTCTGACTTCAAACTGCCATCACCCCACTGTATTTCATATCTGACTACTTCCACAGTACTCACCTCGCCTTTTTTCTACCTTCGTGTCCGTCTCTTACATCTATGAAACACTCTCCTGTTTACCTCCCCCCTCTGGACTTTTTTCACTTTTATGTTTCTCTTCCTCTCTGTGAAGCCTGAAGTCAACTAATGGGTAAATGATAACTATCAAAACGCCTGCCATTTGATATAAATAAATATATAAAGGGTCGGGGTACAAGTCTAGTGATCGCACATTCCCATATTATCTTAATAAAGTAGACTTTTAAGCAAACTAGTACACGATTGATTTAAACGTTTCGGTAAGCTAAACATGCCTTTCTACGTGCCTAATTCTATTCTTAGCGTTCAGCAGCCTTTTCTTGGGCAATTTTTTTAAAGCTAGCACTAAGCAAACTGGCATAAAGGTACGTAGAGCGTTGAATGTGTTCACTGGATTGACTAGGGCTATTTTTTGACATTTCAGGTAAATATTAACGTCTTTCGAAAATGAATGAATAAATTCGACTGGTGTTTACAGTAACTGCTTCCATCGATGAATATAATTCCGTGATAATTAAGTGAATTTTTTTTCAAATGAATCGCGTCGCAAGAAAATGCGATCAATTGAATCTGCTAGTTCAGGTATTCCTTTTCTTTCCCTTCCTTGGCTGTAAAATAAAAATGGAGAATTATTTATTTAAATTAACACTCCTTCTTTGCGAAGCGAGTAAGCTCGTAAGTAGACAAGTTTCCTAAATTATCTGTTTGACACCTGCTCGTTTGGGTTTTCAAGCTTTCATTAACGTCTTTCCTTAGTTTCTCCACTTTATGTTTAAATCAGCTCTTATTTTCTCCCGGGTCTGTCGGTATGGGTGTAAAAATATTAAGCTTTTATCTATGAAACTAAGAGTTACAGGCACTTTATTTTGATGAAAGAGTTTCCCTAATATAGTTAGCTTATAAAGTTTCTAGTTGTAGTTCACAATTCTTGATATACGAATATTCTTTAAAATTAAATAAAAGGCAAAATCAAATGTATATTAAAAGATTAATTTGATTTGTTATCGTAAGGGTCAAATAGTAACCTCATCATATAAAACGCCAATAAGTTATTCAAGACATCCATTCAATATCTTCAAAGAAGAAGGCAATATCCATTCGAATAATGCATTTTATAATCAACATTCTGCACAGGGGGATCACAGAAAACTACACTCTGTGATAAACGTATGAAGCGTGACAATATGTCACCTTAGAAGTCAAACAATTTTATCAACAAGTGAGATGTGTGTGTGTGTGTGCGTGTGTGTTAGAGGGAGGGAGAAAGAGAGTAAGGATAAGTATAAACGCACTCGGTGCAAAAGCTCTATAGCAGCTACGTTAACACATACGACCAAACTACAGTCCTAGACTCGATGAGAATGAGCCGACAATCTAAGAAACAGTGGTTTTGTGAAGGTAAAAAGAAATGTATGAAATCAAGGGAGAAAAGGTTTGAATAAACGGGTGAATGCAGAGTTTACGTTAAGTAGAAAGAGGGTGGGCATGAGATTCACATTAGAGAACGTAGGCTTTGTTTGGTTAGTCCTCTGAATAGTTGTTGGCGTTGATAGAGACCATTTGGAGACCAAGTTCAAGACGTTCTGTGTCCTCGTCGACTTCGTCTTCGTCCAGATTAGATGTCGGTGTGCTGCGACCGGTACTGCGATTGGAACTTGAGCTGCGTGAAGCGCTCGGCGATGGAGGTGCTGAGAAGGGTCTGCAGAGACGGAAACTCTTCGAGGAACCGGCATCTTCTACATCTACTTCTCCGCGCTCTATATCACGAGTAAAAAGATCTGGTCTTTGGCGATACAGAGCTACCATACGCGCTCGACTGTAGTACTGTTGGAAAAAGCATATATCGTGATTAAAAAGGAAAAACTTTAATTATTTTCGAGATCACCTGCTGGATGTGAGAAAATTCCTTTTACTCTAAGTTTCAAAGGTAGTGATCACTATTAGGACTAAGAGCAAGTGTTGATGGGTAAGCACTTTGAAAACCTTACTAGTTTCACTGAGACTAAAAAAACCGGGCCTTAAATATTAGATGCTCAATTGCAGATTCTCTTTCAACTACGTAGATCAATATTTTTCTTTAAAATTTATTCTGAAAACCACAAAACAACAGATCTAGATAAACATCATTACAAATAAATATATAAAGTCAAATAGTAGTCAGAAACGGGCGTAAAATCGTCAATTCCCACCCACAATATGAGCAATTAACGTAATATATTTTTCTAAAACAAAGCATTTTCACGAAAGCAGGAGATTCAGTCATCCCCAATAACTTTACCACACCGGAACCGCCGATACAATCAATCTCATCTCTCTTAAATTGCCAAGGGCTACCATAAATTAAAAGTATAATCGAGAAATTGAATCAGAATGAAATATTTACGATGTCATTTGAATTCATAACATTTTGTAAATGAAATTCGTTCCCATTTGCTGCCAAACCCATATTGGAAAGCGTTTTCTCCAAATCTCGTTTTAATTAGTGATAGTGGTGGAAGGGGGGCGAGCACCATAGAAGCTCTGATGGGAAACTGGAATTCCATCGTCCTTTAAATGCATTTAACCATTTTGATCTGTGGGTGTGCAGTGATAGTGAACCTGTGTCATCTGAGACCCCAGGCCTGCAAGTTAACTAGTATGCTTCAAGAGGTAGATCTTTCATTATTGATTTACCAGTAATTGAGACTGAAGTTACCAAATTGCTTGGCTAACCTTGTAAGTAAACCATCTTTAATATCCAAATTATGTAGGATGAAGAAGAGTCTCTTTTATTTTAAATTCATTACATTCCTCTGTGTGTAACTTAAGACATAGAAGTGGTGGCATAAGTTTACTACAGTAAGAATATCTAGAGTTGGAAGAACTTATCATTAGACTTTTAAAGCGTTTTTTTAAGTACAACTTTATTAAATTAAGCACCTTAGCCTTCTAACTAAGTCTATCGAAAGGGTACATCTCGCATTAAAGCAGTGACCTCGAAGGTAAGGAAATGGCGTGATGTCAACGAAGTGGAAGTTATATTAGGAATAAAGAAATAAAATTTATAAACGTTCTTTCAATATTGTAATGACATTCAGAAATATGGCACCATTATTGATCATAATGAAACAGTAAGCTTTTCTAAAAAGTATTAAAAGCTGATTTTGTGTTAAAAAGTATTTTGAGAGGGTTAAATCCACAAATCCTTCTAAAGTAGCTTATATTAAATTAGAACTGGCCATTTGTAGAAGGTGAAATAGTGTTGATTAACAGCGTGTCACGTTCTAACTTACCACGCCAAGGTTTTTCCAGTCCAAAAGTTCACTTAGACGTTCGGTTCTATTTCGCAAAACCACACGTTGTCTTCGAGAGTATTGGCAGAATTCATGCAGGCACTAGAGAAAGAAAATAATATTTGTGATGTGTGAGGGTGCGCTTTGTTTACCAAACTGTCGGTTATTTACTAACACACAAGGGCGTCACATAATTAATGACCAGAATTTGGGTAAAACGTCGGACTTACTCTTGTCAGTTGCTCCACTGACGCATCTACACTCTGAAAACGACGATCCACAACGTAGATACCATAGGAAGCGGGATCTTCAATGTGCTCTTCCATGAAGCAACCGAAACCGGAGAGGTTGGTGGTTACCGAAGGGATGCCCATCACCGTACACTCAGCTGTAATTGACAAGACACAAAATTAAAGCAGTGCTAGAAGCGATAGATTTAAGTAATGGCTCAGGACAGGTGAAACCCACCTGGAGTGTAACCCCATGGTTCATAGTATGAGGGGAAGACGCCCAAGTGGCAGCCTCGAACAAATTCTTCATAGTCCATTGGCAAGAGTGGGTTTGTAGAACTGAGAAATTCAGGGTGAAAAATAACCTACAAAGGGAGCATAAATTATTTTCACTCACAAGGAAAAGAAAAAATTCTATATTACTAAAAAGTTAAATATGCAACTCACTTTAACACGATCATAACGGTTGTTAAAGAGGCGACAACGACGGAGGTTACAGAGAACCAGATCAATATTGTCCTGAATAATATTGTGTGTACAGATGGGAGGGAGATTATTTCGCTGAGCGGCGTAGATACAACGTTTCAGACGAACAATATCCTCCTAGACGACAAAAACGAACAATGTAAAAGACGCAATAAAGCACATCTTCTCGGAATAAAAATTAACAAGTCAATTTTAACGGCTTTTTTCAACTCTCTAACTCACCTGGTGGAGAACATCATTACCAGTAGGAATTCGGCCACGAAGGCAAACTTCAAATAGCCTGGTGCCCATGTCATTTTGAATGTCATTGCAGGTCTCTCGCAGTTGCTTGACAATAGCCTGAGCCCTGAAAGAATCTACGTTGAAGCTATTGGTTGCTGCTGGAAAGATTAAGAACGCAACCACTGTAACATCACTTCCCTGTTCCTATAATAGTGAGAACAAAAGAAGGCTATATAAATAAGAGGATTTAAAGCATTCAAGTACAATCTGACGACTATTCCCTTTCTACCTAACCTCAAGTTTGTACTTTTGTTCATTACTTAGTACCAAACCAGATTTTCTTAGGCCTTTTACCAGGGTAAAGCTTCGCACGCTGACTAATTCTAATGATGGATATCATTATGACCAAGTAGCATCGAGTATCTTTTACCTCCAGAAGAAATTTAAAAAACAAAATTTGTTGAAAATTAGTATCTTGTTATTGTAATAGTTTTGAATTCAGTGTTCTAAGTATGTATATATACCCAAAAGTAAAGTCGTAAACACTTCCTCTTACAAAACTGTCGGGATTGATTTATGCGCAAAAAATGTGCTTGGAATGGACTAAGAGAGACAAGAAACACTTAGGATCATGGAGATCTGAACCAGTCCTACCCCCTGGACGGGAAAGGCCTTGGCCGTTCAAACAAAATTTCATGTAAACGTGATGAAGAGGATTTGGTCGACACACACACCCCCCTAGCCAATCAGAGCACACGAGATAGCGAACGTGCAGCGCACGGAAGCACCTACGCACTTAAGATGACCGTGAAATGCAATCGAAAAATACTATTTAGTAACGCAGGCAATTGTGATAGATTGTATCCTTTTGCATTTTAATGACAAGGGGTCAAAGTCGTGACACCGATCAGTCAACTAATGATTAGGGTCAATGAGAAAGCAAACAAAAGATCAATGAACATATACCTGAAGTCGATGATTCAGACGCGCCAGAGCTTCGATGAAAATATCGGCACCCTTATTTTGGAATTCGTATCTGCCAGCAATGAAGAAGTACAATGTTTTATCCAAATCAAAATCGTAATGCCTGAAAAGAAAGTAAAGATTGATAACCCTTTGTAATTATCGCTTTAACGCTTAACGCTTTATGCAATTCACAAAAATATGAGGACACGCAATGTAAAAATAGAAGCAAATTAAAACCAAAAAATGCAAAGATAAAACAGTATGACACCAAGAGCTTACTGATTTGAGGTTCTAAAAATAAATCAACGTTAGAATCTAACTAATAAGATGAGTACTCTCTGACTACTTTAGTAGCCCCTTTCAAAAACCAAAAGATTATGCGCTAAAAGGACAGGCACTAACCCGTAGAAATGACCTTGGATAAACTGGTGTAACTTCTGCTTGGCGATTGCGTGACGGTTCTGGAACTCATGAAGAGCCGCAAATTTGATAACATTGAGACCGTTTGGTGTTATTATGTCAGGTTCTCTTTGAAGGAGGTATTTGCTTTCCAAACCAGTAATTTTGCTAACTGTAGTAAAAGCATGGGCACAATGAACCGCAGCTCTTTCTAAGCAGTATCGGTGATAAATATTACGATCACCGGCTTCCTATAAAAAAATGCAATAATATCGTATCAATTTATAAAGGAAGAAATGATCTCGCCTTATCGAGGTCGAATTTGTCCAAATTATTGTAGAGATCGATGGAGGCTGCGCACAAATATCTACCAAGAAGGGTAGCATGCGTTGTGAAGATTGTAGACACATTAAGATGTCGAGTACGTGAAAAGATCAATCCACAACCAGCAAGCCATTCATGAAAATGAGCAATTATTGGAAGCTTAACACCTTCCGTCATTTCATCAAGCGCATCTCTGAACTGATAATTTAAGAAATTGTAAATACATGAGGCTACCGATAATATGATTTCAAAAATAAAACAACTTACTTCTTTTAAAAACCAGGCAACCAGAGCACCGAATATGAGTGCATCATTACATTCAGAATCATGGACAGGGATTCCAATATTGCAATTATCCCAAAGTTCTTTTTTCCAAGAATCAATACGCCATGCTGACGATCCAATATCAAAAAGAAGGACATAAGGATAACCTTCAATAAGCCATCTACCAAATACCATCTAAAAGGTAATATCAACAAAAATAATCCTACTTTAATGTCGTGTTCTTGCATTTTTAAAAGGGCACGTTTAAGTGGCTCTGAATTGGGTTCTACGATATCAACCTCCGTTCGCATGCATGCGTCGTTAAGAGGACCAAGTAGGCAATATCGGTCACCGAGTTCTTCAACAGTAGTTGCAGCTTTTGTTCTAATGACGGTATAAATGCCACCAACTAAAACGATCATAGACTAAGCATAAATAGTTAAATAAAAAGCCAGAGAATATATGGTTAGAATTACCTTTATTAACAACTTCCCACGCGCACTCAAAAACATACTTCTGCTTGTAAATTTCCTCATCAACTTTTTTGTCCAAACCAAGCACATCTGTGCTGGTAGTAATGTCTTTGATAAATCTACCGACACTTGCCCTTCTGTGCATATTCATCTTGTATTTGCTTAACCGCTTTACTGCTATTATATGCACAGTGCAATCCAATTGGCCAAATAAAACAATTAGAAATTAAAACTTAAAACATGTCAATTGTTTGAAGCTTAAAAGGAAATAATTTCATATAAAAAATATTTAATCAATAAATTTGAATAAATGGCACTAAAATACTTGAATAATTATTTTAGAAAATTTTCTGATATTAGCGATAAATAATATAAATAAACAGGCGTGTATAAAAATAAATATTATATAAATTTTCTGTTATTCCTTTTTTCAGCGCTTTTAGTGATAAAACTCGAATATAACACAACTTAAAATGATTTATGTGTCTGATCATGCATGAAATGCTATACGGTGAAACGCAATCGGCTTTAGTTTTGTTTACAATAAAAATGCTATCCACTATTAGCAAATACTATTGAGTGGCAAGTGGTAATAGTTTGATTAAAAATTTTGAGAGAATATACAGTAATTTAACTTCTGGATATAGGGATAGAATCGTTAATGTTAGATTTACTAAAGTGAAGAATAGTTGAGCGATTTGTAATTTCCAATATTATTTCCACATTACTCATATAAAAACACAGAGTAAATAATAATGCCAAAATGAATTCGAAGTTAAAGTGTTTATTTTGAAATTCTAAGCGATGACTTGAAATTGAAGCTTGGTTGATGTGATTCATATGAAACTTGTTTCGTATAAAATGAAGTCGATAATGATAATTGTAATGAATTCGTTTCGATTTTCTTTATTCGCAAACAAAAAAGCAAGGTAATGGAATGCATTTAAGCGCAACATATCCAAGCTCAATAAGTATCATCGAATTCTATTTCTGCCTCACTCTATGCCACTTAGTCTGGCTGTGTATAAAATTGACTTAAATGTTTGCAGAAGCGCAAGCTGGCAGACTTTGACAAATTCAAGAACAATAAAACAAGGGAATTATAAACTACAAATTCTAAACCGTATTAACCCTCTATAAATTTTCACACAACAAATTAATTAAGGAATGTGAATGAATTATGGATGCAACGCAGGGATGACAAAGAGAATATCGTTCAAGTTTCAGATAATAAAGATTTTAAAAATCTGTTTTACTGGTAATTAAAGTATCTGAAATAAATGTGGCGGAAATCTTAGTGCTTTAAATAATAGGTATAAAAATTTGTCATACTCTTGAATATCTGTCTTATTAAATCCTCATGCTCCTAGCTTAAAAGTATACTCAAAAATACACAAAATCAAAATTCTTTTAATAAATAGTCCTAAATTTTTAAATAACACGATTAAATTACCAGAATTTTGCAATTTTAGGTTAGTTAAAGATTCCCTAAATGCTTCTGGCATTTCATTCATTCATTTGTTATCCCTCTAATGACCTTTTCACTGACCGGGAAGATCAAGGATTATGGCTGCCGAAGATAATCCTCTTCTAAGTGCAAGCCGGAAATTGTCGTAAGTTTATTTTCTTAAGTCTAATTTCTTAAGTGCCTCAGGAGCAACCCTCTATCATATTCTTGGTGTTCCAAAAGGTGCAGATGAAGATGACATAAAACGGGCATATCGGAAGGTAGTTTTATATTTCTTTATCACTAATTCAAAACATATTACGGACTATATGCTTTAATACAAACCTGTTATACTACTATTTTCGATTAATTTATTTATATTAAAGTCATTTGTTTTACCCTCCCATCATTCTGATGAATTTAAAGCGAAATGCTTCAATTAATTACCTAGGCAGCTCTCCGCTTTCATCCTGACAAAAACCCAAATAATCCTGCCGCTGCTGATATCGTAAGTAATGCACACGGCCTTATAACCAGTTTCACGTTTGCTCATATAGTTCAAAGATGTGAATAGGGCTTATCAGTCCTTGATGGATCCGGTGAAGCGGAGCATCTATGATAAATACGGAAGCTTGGGGCTTTCAATTGCTGAACAAGTGGGAGAGGACAACGTGAATACTTATTTTATGCTTTCAAGCAAATGGTGTAAAGCTCTTTTCTTCTTCTGTTGTGCCATCACTGGATGTTACTTCTGTTGTTGCTGCTGTTTCTGCTGCAATTTCTGCTTTGGAAAATTTAAACCCCAAACTCACGAGCCAGAAGTTCCAGAAGAAATCAATTTGCGTGTAAGTGCACTTTCATGCAACTCTCTTGACACGAATTTGAATAATTTACTAGTTTGCAAATATTATGAACAATATGAATTGTTACAAAGTATTGAATATTTTTGGAATCAAACTAATTACCTAAAATTTGCTGATTTTAAACATGATCTGCTTATATTTTTCTATCAATTCCTTTTATCTCAGTTGCGCTTTTTAATAAAATTTTCAGGTTATCAGTTCAATTTTGGCGATTCAACTTAGCTCTTTTTAAAAATAGTGGTGGCAGTGATTAGAATTTGTTACGCAGATGTATAGAGTATAGTATTCCTGCTTTCAAGGAAAATCTATTTTTGAGGTAATTTCATTATAGGTCGTTCTTATCCATTTTAGCATTCCGGTTACTCTTTTATGGACCTTCATGGAAGCAGTCAGCAATTTGCATTGTTTATGTTATCATTTTGAATATCAAATATTTTTGATCATCTCATAAGCAGAATGTTGATTCACGCTTTTTAGATTGTCTTCAATTGTCCATCATATTTGAATATTTAATTATTTATTTCAAATAGCAGTCGTTTTGTTAGTTATCATTAGCTCTTAAGTTGACTTCAGGCTTCACAGAGGGAAGGAACATCAAAGCGAAAAAAGTCGTTTGGAGAGGGGGGGGGGGAAGTGTGCTTCAATGTAGAAATAAAGGTGAGGTGAGTACTGTGGAAGTAGTCGAATATGACATACAGTGAGGTGATGGTAGTTTGAAGTCAGAAGTCAACCACCGGTTAATAGACTTTTTTTCCGCATGAGTATAAATTGCTCAGGGTGCTCCAAGTGGGGATAAGTCTATCGCACACCCCATGTTTGAATATGCATTTAGTTATTTAATTTGTTTTGACCAAGAGAGGAAGTGCCCCTTTCCCATTCTGTCCATTTATCCTCGACTTATGGAATGCTCACGTTTATTATTTTGGGCTTGTTTCAGTAACTCCTTATCGCCAAAGTTAAAGAAAAGTGGAAAGAGAACGCTAGAATACTTACTCTAATTTGATATGAATAACTTTCTGCTGGCTTTTAGTTATGCTAATGCTTTGTAAATTCCATTTCTAAATGGACCTACTTTTACATATTTTAATTTTCCTCCTTTTCATCGAAATACAGATTGTTATACCATATGTCGAGTTTTAATTTCCCTATCCAAAAATTTTACTACTAATTATTGTGACATTTTCATTAGCAATTGCCTCATGTCATTTATCGACTTGTACCGGTTGAGTAATCTGTGTGTTTAATTCTCATATTTAGCCATTTATTTATATTAAATGGCAAGCCTTGTGATTGTTATCACTAGCCTTTTAGTTAACTTCAGGCTTCATAGAAGGAAGGAGCATCAAATTTACGAAAAGTCGAGGGGGGGGGGGGTTGGAGTGGAAGAGTTTCGACTAACATCCCATATCTTCCCTATTCATACTTTACTTTTATCTCGGTTATCCCTAAATACAGGGGTTTAACTAGGATATCTTATTTAACGATAGAGGCGTGACATCTTTGTATGTAATTGGATTTGAGATTATTCGCATATGTGATATGTTAATTGCCTTTTTTTATAAATAGGATGAAGATTTTGCGGATCTGGCCGACCCAATGCATCAGGCCGCGCCTGCGTACAATCCTGATGCAATGCGTCAGGCTCAATTCAATTCCTCATGTGCACCAACTGAGAGATCTATGCCACTGCCAACAGGGGTTGTCATCACTCAGCAACCACCCAGCACGCATTCGGGCTACTAAAAATGGCCTATTTATCAGCTGACTTCTGGTTATTCCACATCACTCTTTTCTCACTCATATTGTCTCTGTGATCTCTCAATGTTGTATATGTTTTTTTCTTTTCTATCACTAATTTGCATTTATTCGTTCACTCGCTCCTGGGTGAGCGTCACTGTGTGCAATACGCATTCCATTATCTTGGTCTATTATATTATATCTGTTTGTAGTTCTCAGGAGGAGAATATTTAATAAATTGTGATGCTTCCTTCGTGAAACCTTGCTTTATGTCGAATACTTCAAGAGAGATATTACTTCGGGTATTATTAAAAGAACATGATAATTTCAAAACAACTGGCTCCAGCTATCCATATTAAGTCAGACGAATGATGCACTAACCCCCCCCCC